TTGAAAATAAATGTACAAGCCCCTTCACTCCAGACAGCAATTATTCTGCCCTCCCGAATGTTCAAGTGGTCATGGTGGGCAGGGGGTGAGAGGAGAGAGCAGTGGATTTGCTGGGTTGTGGACAAAGAAAGAGGAAGGAATAATGGATGAATAAAGATGTAGTTAGAGAAGGATAATTTACAAAGCAGAAGAGAACTGGGAAAAGACAAGCTTACTTGATATATACCAAAAATGTGACTAGTAATTACTGCCTTCTATTCACACGGTTAGCTACACTTCACAGATCTTCAAGTGTTCCTAACCTTTCAACTCCAGCATGTACTTTATCTTTAAATCTAGATTTCCTTTTTATGTATCAGCTGTTGAAAGTATAAAAGAAACTTTTCAATCATTTTAATTGCATTAGCGGTGATTTACCTTTAGATGCTAAACCTTATGGGTGAAAGTGGATTAAATGTAGCCAAACGCAGCGCCAGAATCTTCAGGCACAAAACCCATTAACTTTTTAATACTCTCAGAAGATGAACCTAATTTCAAATTATGCTGCCCCAGAATATATTGTTAAGCATATTCTAGATATAATTCATTTTGGCAAACATTCTGTAGAAATTCACGAACATTTATCACTAAAAGCAAATTGCCCATGTAACAAAAAATACCTTTTCATAGCTTCAGATGAATTTTAAAGGATGACTGATGGTCCTTGGAAGAGACACAGTAAATAGATAAGGTTTATAGCAATGATGTATGAGTTAGAAATTGCAGTTCCAGATAATCTCTCTATTAAAGAGACTATCTACACTTAATTTGGTCCACTGTAGTGAATACAGTTGACGGAGTCCCCTATGTGAATTCAATCTGAAATACCAAAGTTAATTTTCTTTTCTTTTCTTTTCTTTTTTTTTTTTTTTTTTAAGACAGTATCTTGCTCTGTTGCTCCAGCTGGAGTGCAGTGGCATGATCTTGGCTCACTGCAACCTCCGCTTCCTGGGCTTGAGTGATCCTCCTGCCTCAGCCCCCCGAGCGAGGCTGGGAAGTATAGGTGCAAGCCACCACACCCAGCTACTTTTTGTATTTTTGGTAGAGATAGGCTTTCACCATGTTGCCCAGGTTGGTCTTGAACTCCTGAGCTCAAGTGATCCACCCATCCTGCCTCCCAAAAACGCTGGGATTACAGGCGTGAGCCACCGCGGCCTGGCCAGAAAATTTTAAACATGCACAAACTCTCAAGTGGCCCACCTCTTCACCAAACCAATCACAATACAGGTCAAAGAGAATAACTTGTATTAGTTTTTCACAAACAAGACTGATAAATTGTGAACGATGCATGATTTTTAATTACAAGTAAACTGGGCATATGTTTCAAGTGCTATTTATAGCTAAAGGGTGATCAGTGGAAATTTTCCTGTTAGTACTTTAATACTTTTTGTATTTATCGGTTCACTACAACATATGCCTCCCAGGTTCAAGCGATTCTCCTGTCTCAGCCACCTGAGTAGCTGAGACCACAGGCACATACTACCATGTCCGGCTAATTTTGTATTTTTAATAGAGACGGGGTTTCACCATGTCGGCCATGTTGAATGCCGGAACTTCCTGACCTCAACTAACTGCCTGTCTTGGCCTGCCAAAGTTCCGATTACGTCATGAACCACCGCACCCAGCCTTATTATAATTGTTATTATTTAAATCTCTTTGCCTTCCTCTTCAAGAGACCTCACCTCATTCAATTGCATCCGTTGATGTATTCATCTTCTGCCTCCTGGGTTCAAGATCCTCCTGCCTCAGTTTCCCAAGTAGCTGGGACTACAGGCTCACACCACCATGCTTGGCTAATGTTTGTATGTTTTAGAGAGACAGGTCCTTGCCATGTTGCCTAGGCTGGTCTCAAACTCCTGGGCTCAGACCCATCCACCTGCCTTCACTCTCCCAAAGCACTGGGATTATAGACATGAGCCACCACGCCCAGCCCCAAGTACTTTTATACAAAATGCAAACACTATTCTTCCATCATAAAAGTGATACCACAGCTTCTGTAAAGGTTTCACAGGCAGTACGCACAATTACCTTGGGTGTACATTTTTGATGTATTTTGATGTTAAAATGTATCTTATTATTATGAAACAGTTTTTCCATTGTATTAACTACTTTTACAACAATGCAAATAAGTTATTTTACAAACCATTTAGAAATTGCTTTACTATGGTCCCAATAATGTAAAATATATTAATGCCTATTACATTCAGATAAATTATAATTTGAAACTATACGTTTATGACTTACAGAAACTACATAAATTATACAAATTATATGCTCAATTTTTAGGTATATAGTCTTAAATTAAGCTTAAATATAAATTCTCAAGATAAATGAACAGTTCAGGCCTTCACAACTTGAAAATCCAGGAACATGACATTGAGACAATAGAACTCTGGTGGAAATCTTAGGTGGAATTTGTTGAAACTTTTTTAATTTTTTGAGACGGAGTCTTGCTCTGTCGCCTAGGCTAGAGTGCAGTGGCGTGATCTCCGCTCACTGCAACCTCCACCTCCCAGGTTCACGCCATTATCTTGCCTCAGCCTCCTGAGTAGCTGGGACTATAGGCACCCGCCACCACGCCCGGCTAATTTTTTTGTGTTTTCAGTAGAGATAGGGTTTCACTATGCTAGCCAGGATGGTCTCGATCTCCTGACCTCGTGATCCGCCCGCCTCGGCCTCACAAAGTGAATTTTTTTAAAAAATAGAGATGGGATCTGCAACATTGCCCAGGCTGGTCTCAAACTCCTTGTTTAAGCGATCCTCCCACCTCAGCCTCCCAAAAGTGCTGGGATTACAAGCGTGAATTCACTACATCCAAGTGAAACTTGAGATAGTTACGTAATTTTTAAATCTGATGGTTTAGAAGTTAGACGAACTGAATATTAAATATTAGATCAAGTTTCTCATGTTTATCTTGAAGTATAAAGGTTTATCTTAAAGCACTGATTTTCACAAAATAACATCAGTGTGAAATTGGAAAAGCAGCGAAATATTTTATGTCATATATCTGGGAAATGAAGTGCTTTAGTCAACTGAATGTGCCCAAACTAAAAAACATTCATTAAAAAGTACTTAACTCAGAAATTATAAAAATAGAAGACATCAATAAAATACATTCTATACAGAATACACCAATCATACACTACTCTTTTTTTGATAATAAAAAAACGTACTTACTGAGCCAGGTGTGGTGTCTCACGCCGATAATCCCAGCACTTTGGGAGGCCAAGCTGAGTGGATCAGTAGAGGCCAGGAGTTGGAGACCAGCCTAGCCAACATGTCAAAACACTGTCTCTACTAAAAATACAAAAATGGGCCGGGCGCGGTGGCTCAAGCCTGTAATCCCAGCACTTTGGGAGGCCGAGACGGGCGGATCACGAGGTCAGGAGATCGAGACCATCCTGGCTTAACACGGTGAAACTCCGTCTCTACTAAAAATACAAAAACTAGCCGGGTGGAGGTGGCAGATGCCTGTAGTCCCAGTTACTCAGGAGGCTGAGGCAGGAGAATGGCCTGAACCCAGGAGGCAGAGCTTGCAGTGAACTGAGATCTGGCCACTGTACTCCAGTCTGGGTGACAGAGCGAGACTCTGTCTCAAAAATATATATATATACAAAACTGAGCCAGGCATGGTGGCACAGGCCTGTAATCCCAGCTACTCTGAAGGATGAGGCAGTAGGATTGTTTGAACCCAGGAGGCGAAGGTTGCAGTGAGCGGAAACTATGCCACTGCACTTCCTGGCCTGGGTGACAGAGCTTGAGTCTCTGTCTCAAAAAAAGGAAACAAAAAGTCAAGTTATGTGGCTCACACCTGTAATCCCAGCACTTTGGGACGCTTGAGGTGTGCTTGCATTTATGTGGTCAGGAGACCGAGACTATCCTGGTCAACATGGTGAAACTAAAAATGCAAAAATTAGGCCAGGCACGGTGGCTCACGCCTGTAATCCCAGCACTTTGGGAAGCCGAGGCGGCTGGATCATAAGGTCAGGAGATGGGGACCATCCTGGCTAACACGGTGAAACCCCATCTCTACTAAAAACACAAAAAGTTATCCAGGCATGGGGTGATGCCTGTACTCCCAGCTACTCGGGAGGCTGAGGTAGAGAATGGTGTGGAAAGGAGGTGAGCCCAAAACACAAAAACAAACAAACAAAATACAAAAATCAGGTGAGGCATGGCGTGCAGTGGTGTCAGTGGTGTCACATGCCTGTAATCCCAGCTACGCAAGAGCCTGAGGCAAGAGAACTGCTTGAACCTGGAGGGTGGAGGCTGCAGTGAGCTGAGATCGCACCATTGCACTCCAGTCTGGGCGACAGGGCGAGACTCCATCTCAAAAAAAAAAAAAAAAAAAAAAAAAGTATTTACTGAATTTTATAAAAAAACAAATTATGTATGCTTTGGGGGAAAGAAATCTTGTTTTGAATCTTCATTTCGATTGAGTTCTATGTAAATTAAAATTCACTATGAGAACTATTTTTGGTATAAAGTTCATCTGCCCAAAAGTGTTCAGGAGATAACCTGAGATTTTAGAATAGAAATGTAAACATCAAAACCAAGTTTCTCGAAACCTGGGTTAAAATATTAAAAATATTAATAATTCTGAAATGCCATTTTGCCACTATTATTCATATCAACCAAAAAATTAGAGAAGTAATACTTCAGACTAGAACAGGAAAAAATATCTGAATACAATCCAAAAAATAATCATAATATTTTTTAAGTGGGTTTATAACAGTGTAATTCTCAAATGAAAATGCATAATTGGTACATCAAGTATTTTGTCTGCAGGCAATTTCTGTGCATTTTAGGTCAAATATGTGGTCCCTTTAAGAGAATCCTTGACTTCATTTCTCCGGGATCCTTCTATGGCACTGGTCCACTTGTAATGCAAATGGTGAAAGCTGACTTCAATGTGCCGCCACCACTTGCTGGGAAAAACATCAAGATGGCCCAGAGAAAACCACACTCCAGTGCAAGCTGTTTCACTGAACAGGAACAAGGCTGAAGTTGGTCAGCTGAACAGAGACAGAGAGTTCAAGTAGGCCACATGGAAACCAAAGCCCTGAGTTAATATTACTGAGTAGGCGGAACTTACCTGTACAAAGGGCCAGGCACACTGTGTCCGTCGCTTGAATTAAAAAAATAAAAAAGCAACAACTTTATTAGAATGCCTTTCATTTTTTATTTATTTTATTTTTTTATTTGAGACAGCATCTCACTCTGTTGCCCAGACTGGAGGCAGTGGTGTAATCTTAGCTCACTGCAACCTCTGGCTCCTGGGTTCAAGCAATTCTCGTGCCTCTGTCTCCTGAGTATCTGTGATTACAGGCGCACACCACCTCACCTGGCTAATTTTTGTATTTTTAGTAGAGATGGGTTTTCACCATGTTGGCCAGGGTGGTCTTGAACTCCTGACCTCAGGTGATCTGCCCACCTCGGCCTCCCAAAGTGCTGGGATTACAGGTGAGCCACTATACCAGCCTAAGCATACCTTTTAATCACACAAAACAATTGCACAGTTCATTCCATAAAAGAGTAAGAAATACTAGGCCAAAAAGATGCTGAGGTAGTATTACATATCAGACTAAGCTGATTAAATTAGACTATCAAGGCTGGGAGGGGGTTGGGCAGTTGTGAGAAAAAGACTATTAGGTATGTAAGACATTTGAATAATTATATTTCTTTAACACCAGAATGAAAAGTCTACTAGAATCGTACTAATTCTGGAAGATAATTGCTTTGGAAATGACAAACATATATTTATGCATTGCAATTTCCTGGATACCATGAAAAAATGATGCAGAAATATATCTGTAAATACAAAATCATCAATTAATTTTTTTAAATTTATTATTATTTTTTGAGACATGGTCTCTCTATGTTGCCCAGGCTTAATCTTCAACTCCCAGGCAAAAGCAATATTCCCACCGCAGCCTCCCAAAGTGCTGGGTTTACAGGCATGAGCCACCGCAGCCGGCCGAATTATTTCATTTATGTATTTATTTTGAGATGGAGTCTCATTCTGTTGCCTAGGCTAGAGTGCAGTGGTGATCTGGCTCACTGCAACCTCTGCCTCTAAGTTCAAGCGATTCTCCTGCCTCAGCCTCCTGAGTAGCTGGGATCACAGGCGCCTGCCACCATGCCCGGCTAATTTTGTATTTTTAGTAGAGACAGGATTTCACCATGTTGGCCAGGCTGGTCTGGAACTCCTGACCTCAGGTGATCTGCCTGCCTCAGCCTCCCAGCAGTGCTACGGTTACAGCGTGAGTCACTGTGCCTAGCCTTGAATTGTTAAAACTATATACCAAACCATTTTTTCTGGAATGATTTTCTAATAGTATATTCAAACCATGTGATGCTATAGAACAAGTTTAGCTGAAATTTTCATATATTACAAAATATTTTAAATAGACATTTCAACAAGCTTTATCCCATAGCCTAATGAAAACGTTTCACCATTATGAGTTTTTTAAAAGTCTTGATATACAAATTATACTTCAAAAAGAAAAGCTACAAGTTTTTAAAATAGTCCTTAAAAGTGCATTAGACTTACTTTCTTTTCACTAATTTGTATTTTCTGAAATTTTAAATGAACAATTGCAATAAAAGCTTTATATTTATATTTAAAAGTAGATATTACATATAGTGTGTGTGTGTGTGTGTTGTGTGTGTGTGTGTGTGTGTATATATAAATTTTTTTTTTTCTGAGGTGGACTTTGCTTGTTGCCCAGGCTGGAGTGCAATGGTGCATCTGGCTCACTGCAACCCTCCACCTCCCAGGTTCAGCGATTCTCCTGCCTCAGCCTCCCAAGTAGCTGGGATTATAGGTAGCCTACTTCACTCACTTGCCGCATCCCAGTTAATTTTTGTATTTTTAGTAGAGACAGGGTTTCGCCACATTGGCCAGACTGGTCTCGAACTCCTGACCTCAGGTGATCTGCCCACCTCGGCCTCCCAACGTACTGGGATTACAGAAGTGAGCCACCGCGCCAGGCCATAATGTATATTTTATATTTATTTATTTATTTATTTTGAGACAGAGTTTTGCTCTTGTTGGGAATCTCAAATTCTTGACCAGGTGATCCACCCACCTCTGCCTCCCAAAGTGCTTGGGATTACAGGCGTGAGACACGGAGCCTAACCCTTAATTTTGAAATATACTTTAAATATAAAATATACCCCTATAATCCCAGCACTTTGGGAGGCCAAGGCGGGCAGATCACATGAGGTCGGGAGTTTGAGACCAGCCTGACTAACACGGAGAAACCCTGTCTCTACTAAAAATTGCAAATTAGTGGCAGGGCGTGATGTCAGGAACCTGTAATCCCAGCTACTCAAGAAGCTGAGGCAGGAGAATCGCTTGAACCGGGAGGCGGAGGTTGAGGTGAACCAAGACTGCACCATGGAACTGCAGCCTGGGCACAGAACAAGACTCTATCTCAAAAAAAAAAAAAGAAGAATGTAAAACTTTAGCAAAAATAATCAGAAGACTAAACTCATCCAAACATGGCTTTCCTTCTTTCTTTGGTTTTTTTCTTATTTAGAGACGAGGCTCACTATGTGGGCCAGGTTATCTTGAACCTGGCCCCAAGCAATCCTCCCACCTCTGCCTCCCCAAAGTGTTAGATTACAGGCGTGAGCCACTGTGCCTGGGTCTCATGGCTTTATTTCTTATGGCTGTGTTTTTTTCTTGTCAGAATGTAGTATCATGCAGTAGTATGTTTTGTTCTCAAACCATTCCCTCACCAAAAGAAATCAGGATGCCTCAGACAATTGGCTGATTGTAGGGCCAGGGCAGGGCAGGGGCAAGGTACAAGATGGTTCTGGAACATACTGTCATGCCAGAAAGGAAGTGGCTTATGAAGGAAGAAAAGGAGAAAGAAGACGGGTGATGTCACAGGACACAGGAATCCAGCTTGGAAAAATTCCCACTGGCCGAATCTGGGACATGCGAGCACTAAAATAATTAAATACTGCCATGAACTTCCTCTGTGCTTTGGCACCTCCCCTCTGAATAGCCCAAAGACATCTGGCATTCAACGCTTCCCAAACTGAACTCACCTCATTTCTTTTCTTTTTCTTTTTTTTTTGTTGTTGTTGAGACAGAGTCTTGCTCTGTCACCCCGGCTGGAGTGCAGTGGTGCGATCTTGGCTCACTGCAACCTCTGCCTCCCAGGTTCAGGTGATTCTCCTGCCTCAGCCTCCTAAGTAGCTGGGATTACAGGTGCGTGCCACCACACCTGGCTAATTTTTGTATTTTCAGGAGAGAACGGTTTCACCATTTTGGTCAGGCTGGTCTCAAACTCCTGATCTCAAGTGACCCGGGCCGCCTCAGCATCCCAAAGTGCTACGATTATAGCCATGAGCCACCATGCCAGCTGGGGTTTTATTTTTTTAAATACAGACAGGGTCTTGCTGTGTTGCCCAAGCTGGTCTCAAACTCCTAACCTCAAGGCATCCTCCTGCCTCAGCCTCCCAAAGTGTTAGGATTACAGGCATGAGCCACCACACCCAACGTGCTTTATTTCTTATGTGAACTTCTGCTGCTTATAACTCCCAACTTTGGTTTTCCTTTGCTGCCATTACCTAACCGTGAAGTTCAAGATCCTCAGCTCCAGGCGTTCAACAGTCTCCAGGATCCAAACTCATTCCAGGTTGCTCAACACATACTCTGTGAACACCAAACTGCCTGTGGTTTCTCCCCTCCAGGCATACCATGGTGCTTCACACATTGTCACCTCACCAGCTCCTTCTGCCCCTGAATGCCCTGTCCTCGGCATGTGCATAACTCCAGATCTTTTTATTTATTTATTTTATTTTGGAGGCAGGGCCTCACTGTCTTGCCCAGGCTGGAGTGCACTGGCACAATCACAGCTTACTTCAATCTCAACCTCCTGGGCTCAGGAGATCCTCCCACCTCAGCCTCCTGAGTAGCTGGGACTACAGGTGCTGTGACACCATGCCCAGCCTATTTTTGTATTTCTGGAGATGAGGTTTTGTCATCATATTGCCCAGGCTGGTCTCAGACTCCTGAGTTTCAAGCAATCCACCCACCTTGGCCTCCCCAAAGTGCTGGAATTACAGGCATGGCTTCACCGGGTGCCTGGCCCCAGCAAGACTTCCTTGATCCCTCCACACCTCCTCGCTGTGCTAAGTACCCATGGAATCTGAAAGCATTTCTCGTCAAACTCTAGTTAATGACTTGTCTATTTATCTATCCATCCCACTAGACTCTAAGTCCCTTTAGGTCAGAATCTGTGTTTTACATAGTTTTTTGGGTATCTTCCACTAACACAATTCCAAGACAGCACCTGGAAGACTTTTCTTCTTTCTTTTTTTTTTTTTAAGGAAACTCCTGTCGCCAGCCCGGAGTGCAGTGGCACAATCTGGCTCACTGCAACCCCACCTCCCGGGTTCCAACAATTATCCTGCCTCAGCTCCTGAGTAGCTGGGATTACAGGTGTGCTCCACCACGCCCAGCTAATTTTTATATTTTTAGTAGAGACGGGGTTTCATCAAATTACCAGGATGGTCTCGATCTCTTGACCTCGTGATCCACCCTGCCTAGCCTACCAAAGTGCTGGGATTACAGGCTTGAGTCATCCTGCCTGGTCAACAGTTTCCATTACAGGAAATCTTCCCACAAAATCAAAATGGGCTGGGCTTCAGACCACTAGTTTATCTTCTTTTCTTTTCCTGAAGGTAGATAAGACTCACTCATTGTAACCACTGTTTTATTAAAACAGTATGCAAATATTCCTGTGTTCATATACAAATCCCTGCCTGAAGCTTCTTTCTTTCCCACCCTACTTCCTGGGCTTTTTTTTTGTTTTGAAACAAGGTCTCACTTGTCACTCAGGCTGGTGTGCAGCTATGCAATCACAGCTCACTGCAGCCTCGACCTCCCAGGCTTGCAATCCTCCCATCTCAGCCTCCTGAGCAGCTGGGACCACAGACACATGCCACTATGCCCAGATGATTTATTTTATTTTTGTAGAGATGGGGTTTCACTATGTTGCCCAGGCTGGTCTCAAACTCCTGACTCTTTGGGAGGACTTGGGAGGCGTAGGCAGGCGGATCACCTGAGGCCAGGAGTCCAAGACCAACCTGCCGACATGGTGAAACCCTATTCCCATTGAAAATACAAAAAAATTAGTTGGATGTAGGGTAAGTCTGTAATGCCAGCTACTCAGGAGGCTGAGGCAGGAGAACTGCTTGAACCCAGGAGCGGAGGTTGCAGTGAGCTGAGATCGTGCCACTGCAGTCCCCACTAGGGGACAGAGCAAGAATCCATCTAAACACACACACACACACACACACACACACACACACACACACACACACACACCAAACAGAAGAAAATCACATTTGGTTATCACCATGGGATCTTCAATTTCTGCCCTAAGAGAAATCAGATAAGAGTTCTGAACACATTCCTTATAGTTACTGTTCCTGAGTATAGAGGCCTCAATGGGAAGCCTCCTGACTTCAAACCTCTCCATCCTCTACCCTAGCTATCAAGCAATGCTGCTAGTTCAGGGGCTTGGTACTGTTGGTACCATCCAACAGATGATGCTTGAAGCCATGGAGGTAATAGCTGGGTGTGGCTCAACACTGCTTTTGATAGGGAATGAAGAACATGTGAAGCCCTAGGTCAGTCTGTGAACATTCTGTAATCCCAAAGATTTACCTCCTTGTGATGAAGGCAATCAAACATGCTCTAGGGCAGAGATGAAAAGTATCCCTGACTTTGCCAGGCCTTGCTGACACTGTTCAATAAATATTAACTGAATCAATGAATAAATACGTATTGGATGGGACTGTATATATTTGTGCCGAGCAAACAGTAAAACCACTGATTTGCTTCAAACCTTGAAATAACCCTTGGAAAACTTCTCCTTCGCTATCAATACCTTTGTGATGTTGGGGAAGTTCTCTACCAGGACTCCGCAGAAAGTTCACCTGAAAACACTGGCTTTGAATGTGGGAATGACTCCATTAAGCCACTCACAGTTCGCAGTCCCTATTTTGCAAATAGAATCCCAATTTACAGAATAAATTGTTGTCACTTGGGCTGCAAAATTCACAAAATAAATTGTGATCATTAATAAGAATTAATAAAGTCAGAAATCATTGACACCATTGAGATATTATTTATTTTCTTCTTTTTTTTTCTTTTTGAGATGGAGTCTTGCTGTGTTGACCAGCCTGGAGTGCAGTGGTGCACCGGCTCACTGCAATCTCTGTCTCCAAGTTCAAGCGATTCTCCTGCCTCAGCCTGCTGGGTAGCTGGGATTACAGACATGCACCACTGTGCCCAGCTATTTTTTTTTTATTTTTAATAGAGATAGGGTTTCGCCATATTGGCCAGGCTAGTTTCAAACTCGTAACGTCAAGTGATCCACCTGCCTCAGCCTCCCAAGTGCTGGGATTACAGGCGTGAGCCACCAAGCCTGGCCCAGAGACATTATTTCTTTCCCACCCATGAGAAGTACAGATACTCTTAGACCCTCTCCTCATACATCTATCAAAATAACTTGAAGATTTCTCTGTCAAAATACTGGACCCTTCTGCCAACCAAACTGGAGCTCTAATTTAGGAATAGTTTAACAGAAATGGACTTAATGTTGAGGTGGGAGAATCGATGGAGCAAGAGCACAGGAGTTTGAGGCCAGCCTGGGCTACATAGTAAGACTCTCTCCACCAAAAAATGTAAAAATAATAAACTGGGTGTGGTGGCACATGCCTGTAGTCTCAGCTACTCAGGAGGCTGAGGTGGGAGGATCACATGAGCTCAGGAGGTCCAGGCTGCAGGGAGCCATGATCATGCCCCTGCATTCTAGCTTCGGTGACAGAATGAGACCCTGTCTCAAAAACAATTTTTTTAATTAAAAAAAAAATTATATATACACACACATATATACACACACACACAAAGAATCCTGATATGATTATACAAATGTATCAAATTATCATGTGTACACTGAAAATATGTATATATATGTGTCAATTAAAAGATTTTTAAATATTTATAAATATATACACAGAAAAATACTTTCTGTATATGTGTATATATATGTGTGTGTGTGTATGTGTGTGTGTATATATATATATATACACACCAAAAAACATACTGATGACATTTTCAAATGCCTGACTTACCAGATAGGTATTCCAGAATTTCTGTTTCAGGTCCGAAAATATGTCATCCTTTTCCTGGAGAATGCTCATACCTATTTGCAAAACACCAAAAGAATTTTAAAAGATTCAGTAGGTACCGTATAACAGTGCATGTTTCAGTTTTCCATTCCAAAATGCGAAGTAACCATCACTATCATCCATCAATACGACCCTTCTGATCCAACAGTGAAAAGAGAACATAGTCAGGCGCGGTGGCTCAAGCCTGTAATCCCAGCACTTTGGGAGGCCAACGCAGGCAGATTGCTCGAGTCCAGGAGTTTAGAGACCAGCCTGGGCAACAGGGCAAAACCCCATCCCTACAAAAAATACAAAAATTAGCCAGGCGTGGTGGCGTGCCTGTAGTCATAGCTACTCAGGAGGCTGAAGTGGGAGGATTGCTTGAGCCTGGGAAGTGGAGGCTGCAGTGAGCTGTGATCATGACACTGCACTCCAGCCTGGGCAACACAGCAAGACCCTATCTCAAAAAAAAAAAAAAAAAGAACAGAAAATAGAACATAATCTCCACTCGAAAACTAGATAAATTTTAAAGGAATGATAAATACGAAGTGAGAATAGCAGAGTATAAAAGTTATAGCAGAACAATTATTTTTTCAAAAACTATAGCAATTCACAAAAAGAATCAAGTTACAATAGTGGGCCTATTGGTTACTTTTCTCTAACTTCCAAACATTTTGTGAAATGTCGAACATTTGAACATTTTGAAATTTTAATTTCTATTTTTTAAAAAAAAGCTAGTGGACTGGTTGTGGTGGCTCACACCTATAATCCCAGCACTTTGGGAGGCTGAGGCGGGTGGATCACCTGAGGTTGGGAGTTTGAGACCAGCCTGACCAACATGGAGAAACTCCGTCTCTACTAAAAATACAAAATTAGCCCCGCGTGGTGGTGCATGCCTGTAATTCCAGCTTCTCAGGAGGCTGAGGCAGAAGGATCACTTGAACCCAGGATTTGGAGGTTGCAGTCAGCTGAGATCACACCACTGCGCTCCTGACTGAGTGACAGAGCAAGAATCCATCTCAAAAATATAAAAATAAAAAAAGGCTAGTGGACCCAAATACTCTGGCAACTACAAATTTCCCATCAGTATTACCCTATTCAAAATTTGAAAGTGAAACCCCAATTCAGCCTTCCTAAAAACACTTTGAAAACGTTGATCTTCAACATTCCTGAAGAGAAATTCACAGCCTGGGCAATACATCAAGACCATTTCTCCACAAAACAATTTAAAAACCAGCCAGGTATAGGGGTGCGCGCCTGTGGTCCCAACTACTCTAGAGGCAGAAGTGAGAGGATTGCTTGAGCCCAGGAGGTTGAGGCTGCAATGAGATGTGATCACATCACTGCACTTCAGCCTGAGGGAATAGAGTGAGACCCTGTCTCAGAAAAAGAAAAGGAAAAAAGAAAAATGAAATTCAGGTAGCAAGGCAAAGCTCTCCTATTTTAGAAGGGGTTGTAAACTGAGAGTACTTTAAAAATTCTTTCTAATCCCCAATTAGGAGGTAGGGGAAATAAGAGCCTTATTAGTTAATTACAGAAGATTCTTACATGACCCAGCAAAATATTGGTAATACTGTGTTCCATTTACCTAGCATTAATTAAATGCTAAGTACTTTATGCGCCTCATTTCATGTGTCCCTCCTTACAATTCGCTAAGGTAGGTAGAGTTACAAAGGAGGAAAAGAGCTTAGAGAGGTTAATAGCAGACGGAATTCAACCCAGGTGTCTGATTCCCAAGCCAGAGTTGTGAATCTGTTACGAATCTGGTTCCCCAAGGTGACCCCAGCACAAAGATCATCTGATTGGTGCAATTTCCATGTAGAGCCTCATGCAAACCTCCAATCTATCCCCTTCCACTTGCCCCTTCATGGAAATTTGAGGTGAGGGAAACTGAACCAGAAAAACTGAAAACCGGCTGGGCGAGGTGGCTCACGCCTGTAATCCCAGCACTTTCGGAGGCCGAGATGAGCAGATCACTTGAGGACAGGAGTTCGAGACCAGTGTGGCCAACATGGTGAAACCCTGTCTTCATTAAAAATGCAAAAATTAGCTGGGCGTGGTGGTGTGCATCTGTAATCCCAGCCCCTCGGCAGGCTGAGGCAGGAGAATCGCTTGAACCTGGAGATGGAGGTTGCAGTGAGCTGAAATCGGGCCACTACACACTTCAGCCTGGGTGATAAAGCGAGCCTCTGTCTCCAAAAAAAAAAGAAGAAAAAGAGAACAATCTCACTAGTTGTTTCAGGATTAAATAGGATTCTGGTCCCCTACCCCTTCAACAGTGTACAAGGCTTCTGTAACAGGTGCTAGGAAGCTGTTTGCAAATCTAGTCTGGAAATCATACCGTGGGACCAGGCAAAGACCTTCTGATAAAACAGTAGGTGCTAGCTCTCAGGCTGTCTGTTCTCCTGACCCACTGATCCCATGAGCCATGTAGTTGGACGCAATGGCAATAGGCAACCAGGTGGTTTGTGTTTCTGGTGGGGTCTGTAGAGAAAGGAAGTGAATCCACCTCTTCAAAATAAGGTTCAGGGGGCAGGGTAGCTCTCTTCAAGATGGTGGCTTGTCTGACCTCAACCTGGTTTAGAAAGCACCAACAGCCCTTAGGAGAAGTTCCCTCCCATTTGGGAGAAAATCTGTTCCCCAATCCCAAGGTCAGGCTTAAGACCCATAGAGATTTTCTCCCCAGTTACCCACCCCATCCCCTTCAAGGCTATAGAAATTGCAAAGATGATAGAGGCCACAGGGCCCCTTCTGTAAGAAGACGGAGGATCTCCAAAGATCACAAGAATTTAACCAACTTGAGCAATCAGCCTGTTTTACAGCCTCCTGTCCTCAACCTGTTCTTCCCCAACCCTGGATGGAATGAGGTCACCCTGTTTGTTTAAACCAGCTCCGAAGTGCCCCCAGGTTACATATAGATGCACCCAAGTTAACTCTCCTCATTTCCATGCTAAAGTCTTCACCCCGGGAGAAGCTATAGCTTCATGACTATAACCTATGTAACCTATGCAATCTATGTGCTAGCCTCATGACTCACTGGGACTCCTACTCTGCATGCAATCACGCGCCCTCTCCTTTCTCCATCACCCCATAAAACCCTCCTGTCTCCTTCTCGGGGGGACACACTACTTTGGAGAACACGCCCAGTGTCTTCCTTACTTGTGCCAAGTAAAACTCCCATTGACCAAAACCTGCCTCTTGATGGAGTCATCTGGGACTCGTTAGGGGAATGAACCCCGGCATTTTTCAGGTAACATTTCCATTGTTCTTATCGTAGGCAGTAGAGAAGGTTTCCACAGTCAAGCCCCCGTCCCCCAAACCCCAGGCCCGGGTCGCATTTTCTAAGGAGAGGGTTCCCTGAACCCTCACAGGTATATAGTCCTCCACGGCAAGGATCCAAGATCCCTTGATGTCTTCCGTGGGACCCCCAGGGGAAAATCTTGTCACCAAAGCAGGACTAGGCCCGTGGGTATGAGTTTTCTGAAGATCCAGGCCCAACCTCAGATTCCACCTGCTCTGCCCCCCAGGGTCATGGGTCCCCTTGCGTTTTGTTCCTGTGTTGGCCCCGGAGCCCCAGGCATGGATTTTCTGAAGAGCAGGTCGGTCCCTTCCCTGCCCACGACTGGTTCATGGTCATGCAGCTGCTATGGCCTTGAACTGGGATCTCCTTTATTTTCCCGTGGGCCCTTTTCCAGGGGGAAAAGACCTCCCCAGCCCTGCCAGCTCCAGCCTTGACCTACATCCAACCCCGGAGTCTGAGCCCCGACCCTAGCCCCTGACCCGGTGGACCTCTGGCTTTCCAATTTCCCGGCTCCCCAGCCAGTGCCCCCCCGCAACTTCTCGCAATCAAACACCCCAGCCTCCAGCCTTTGTCCCGGGCCTCCAGGCCCCTGAAGCAGCCCTGGTCTCAGAGCCTCAGCTCCTACCCGGGTCCCCAGGCTCCTGCAGCGCCCTCCTCCAGCCGCTTGATCCCGAGTCCCTGGCTCCAGTCCCCCAATAGCGGGTCCCACCCCCGAGGCTCCCTCCCGGCCCCTCACCGGTGTAGAAGGCCGAGACTGCGATGGGCGCACCGACCACCTGGTCCCAGAGCAACTTGGCCAGCACCGCGCGCGGCGCGCGGCCCGGGAGCGCGCGCTCCAGCAGGCCCAGCCACACGTAGTTGAAGTTGGCGTGGAAGGTCACCGCCAACGTGGCCACGCGTCGCGTCTGGCGCCAGTCGGCCTCGCCGCCCTGCAGTCGCTGCTGCAGCGCGTCCCCGGCCGAGAAGAGCGAGCCGTAGAGCAGCACGTTGGTGGGCCACGGGTGGCGCCGGGCCGCGCGCGACACTGCTGGCCACCAGCCCGCCATGTCGGCGCTGTGGGCGCCCGCGATCAGGAGCCGGCGTGGTCAGCAGCTTCCTGCACCGCGTCGGGGCCTCCTGGGCCTCCAGCAGCCCCTGAGCCCGCGCCGCCCGCACCTGCACCTGCCCCCTCCAGACGCTCCGGAGCGATTGGGCGCCCCGCGCACACCCAGCCCGCGCCGTCCAATCCAGAGGCCACGGGCCGTCGTGAGGGCTGAACATTTGAAAGGTGCCCGGCCCACCCCCATGCATGGGTCCATTCACACAAAATACCCAGAACAGGCAAAGCCACAGAGGCAGAAGTAATGGGGTTATTTATTTATTTGTATTAATTAATTAGATTTTTTGAGATGGAGTCTCGCTCTGTCGCCCAGGCTGGAGTGCAACGGCCCAATCTGGACTGACTGTAACCTCCGCCTCCCAGGTTCAAGAGATTCTCCTGTCTCAGTCTCCCTGGGACTACACGCGATTCTCCTGCCTCAGCCTTCTGAGTAGCTGGGACTACACGCGTGTGCCATCACACTCGACTAATTTTTGTATTTTTAGTGGAGACGGGGTTTCAACATGTTGGCCAGGCTGATCTCGAGTGATCCGCCTGTCTCGGCCTCCCAAAGTGCTGGGATTACAGGCGTGAGCCACCGCGCCCGGCCAAAAACATTTTGAAATTAGATAGGTGTGATGGTTACATGAATTTGTGAATATATTAAAAACCACTGAATTGTACACTAAAAAAAAGGGGTGCATTTGGCCGGGCGCAGTGGCACATGTCTGTAATCCGAGCACTTTGGGAGAATTAGGAGGATCCTTTGAGGGCAGGAGTTCCAGACCAGCCTGGGCAACATAGGAAGACCCCTGCTCTACGAAAAAAAAAAAAAAAGAGAGAAAAGTATTGTAATTAGCTTGTAGTGAGCCGAGATGGCGCCACTGCACTCCAGCCTGGGCAACAGAGCGAGATTCCCTCTCAAAAAAAAAAAAAAAAAAAAAAGGAAAAAGAAACGAAGGGATAGCAAAACTCAGTCGCCAAAATGGCAATGTGTTTTAAATGTTTGCAGGCCACGAATTCACATTTGCAACACACGCAATACACTGAACTGATTGTGTGACTTCCTCTAGAGAGAATATCAAAAGTTACAATGCGAGGGCTTTTATGAATGCGAGATGAGGGCCCATGTGCCTTCTCCTCTTCAGTTTGTGCCTCAGTGATCATCACTTCCCAAAACATATCCTGAGCTCCCAGCTTCCAGGCACTGTCCCAAAAGTGGGGTGTTAGTGGGAACCCAAGCAACAGACACTGTAGAGTCTCTCACCTCATAGAACTCATTTTTCTCCTTGCTTCTTTTTTTCTTAATCTTTTTTTTTTTTTTTTTTGTGATAGGATCTTACCCTGTTTCCCAGGCTGGAGTGCAGTGATGCAATCATAGCTCACTGCAACCTTAAACTCCTGGGCTCAACAGATCTTCCTGCCTCAGCCTCCCGAGTAACTGGGACTACAGACACCTGCCACCATGCCCAGCTAGTTTTGTAATTTTTTTGTACAGACAGGGTCTCGTTGCCCAGGCTCGTCTTGAACTACTGGCTTCAAGTCATCCTCCTGCCTTGGACTCCCTAAGTGCTGCGATTATAGGCATGAGCCACCATGTCCGGCCTTTTCTGACCTTTTTTCCTACTCTTTCACAGTCACATCCAACCCTGTTCTCTTCTCTGTTTACCCTACTTTTATTCAGTTTTCAAATGTTTAACTTTTAATGATTGCATTTATTTATTTTTGAAAGAAGGGTCTCGCTGTGTTTCCCAGGTTAGTCTTGAACTCCAGGACTCAAGCGGTACTCCCACCTCAGCATCCCCAGTAGCTGGGACTACAGGCACATGCCACCAAACCCAGCTCTGATTTTTTTTTTTTTTTTTTTTTTTTTTTTTACCAAACCCAGCTCTGATTTTTTTTTTTTTTTTTTTTTATTGAGATGGAGTCTTGCTCTGTCACCCAGGCTGGAGTGCAGTGGCGTAATCTCGGCTCACTGCAAGCTCCGCCTCCCGGGTTCATGCCATTTTCCTGTCTCAGCCTCCCAAGTAACTGGGACTCCAGGTACCCACCACCACGTCCGACTAATTTTTTTTATTTTTGTATTTTTAGTAGAAACGGGGTTTCACCGTGTTAGCCAGGATGGTCTCGAACTCCTGACCTCATGATCTGCCCACTTCAGCCTCCCAAAATGCTGGGATTACAGGCATGATCCCCCCGCCTGGCCCTGATTTTTAACTTTTCTTTTGTTTGAGACAGACTCCTGTTGCCCAGGCTGGAGTACAGTGGTGTGATTTCGGCTCACTGCAACTTCTCCCTCCCAAGTTTAAGCGATTCTCCTGCCTCAGCCTCCCGAGTAGCTGGGACTACAGGCATGCACCACCATGCCTGGCTCATTTTGGTATTTTTAGTAGAGACAGGGTTTCGCTATGTGGGCCTGGCTGGTCTCCAACTCCTGTCCTCAGGTGATCCGCTGGCCTTGGCCTCCCAAAATGCTGGGATTACAGGTGTGAGCCACTGTGCCCGGCCTTGATTTTTAACTTTTAATTGTGAAATAACTACAGACTTTGAAAGAAGTTGCAAAAATAGTACAAAGAGTTACCACATACTCTTCACCCAAGCTTCCTGAACTATTGACATCTTACATGACCACAGTATGATGATCAAAACAAGGAAATAAGCACGGAGATCATACGCTTACCTAATCTACAGATCTTATTCAAATGATCACCAATCGTCACCCTTAGGTTCTCTGTTCCCAGTCTGGCCTCCAGTCCCGGATTGCTTCACATTGTGTTGAACTGTCAAATGGCCTTAGTCTCCAAGCCAGACCACTAACCAGCTGTTCTGTAGGCTGTCCCTCAATTTATCAACCCAGTTGTTATGGGCTAAATGATGCCCTCCAAAATTCATATGTTGAAGCCCTAATTTCCAGTACCTCAGAAGGTGACTGTGTTTGAAGATAGGGCCTTTAAAATCGCAATGAAGTTAAAGTGAGACCTTTAGGATGGGCTCTAATCCAATCTGTCTGGTGTCCTTATAAGAAGAGGAAATTTGGGGCCATGCTCGGTGGCTCACACTGTAATCCCAGCACTTTAGGAGACCAAAGCAGGAGGCTCACTTGAGGTAGGAAGATCACTTAAGACCAGCCTGGCCAACATGGTGAAACCCTGTCTCCACTAAAAATACAAAAATTAGCTGGGTGTGGTGGCACACACCTGTAATCCCAACTACACACGAGGCTGAGGCCAGAGAATCGCTTGAACCTGGGAGGGGGAGGTTACAGTGAGCCGAGATCGAGCCACTCCACTATAGCCTGGGTGACAGAGCAAGATTCCATCTCAAAAAAAAAAAAAAAAAAGAGAGAGAGAAAATTTGGACACACAAAGAGGCACCACGGGCTGGGCGTGGTGGCTCATGCCTATAATCCCAGCCCTTCGGGAGGCCAAGTCAGGAGGACTGCTTGAGCTCAGAAGTTCGAAACCAGCCTGGGCAACATAGCGAGACTCTCTCTCTCTCTCTCTGTTTTTATTTTAAAAATAAAGAAAAAAAACGAGGCACCAGGGATGTTTTCACACGGAGGAAAGACTATGTGAAGACACAGCAAGAAGGCAGCCGTGCGAAACCAACTCAGCAGGCACCCTGGTCTTGGACTTCTTGCCTCCAGAACTGTGAGCAAATAAATTTCTATTGTCTAAGTCACCCTGTGTGTGCTATTTTGTTATGGCAGCCCCAGCAAACCAATATATCCATTCTCTTCAGTTATTGGCAATCTGCCCATATCTATGTTCTCTAATCCTTTTTATCTGCTCATTTGTTGATTTCTAGCCTTTTCCGGCTCCTTATCCTTGTTACTGGTCCCAAGGAAATTTCTGTTAGATTTCTCCCAGCTGGGCAAGCTTCCAGCTCACCAAAACATCTCCTTCTTTGCTTGCTACTTATATCCCCCTTGTATCATTTTTCCATTGCTGAGGTAACAAATTCCACGAATTTAATGGCTTAAAAGAACACAAATTTGTTGTCTTAGAATTTAGGGGGTCAGAGTCTAAAATGGGTCTGCAGGACTGCATTCCTCCTGGAGGTCCTAAAGTAGAGTCCATTTTCTTGCCTCTTCCAAGCTTCTAGATGCTCCCTGCACTCCTTGGCTCCCCATCCAACATCTTCAAAGTCAGCAGCACAGAATCTTCCCATCTCCCTTTCTCTCTCTTTTTTTTATAGACAAAGTCTTACTCTGTCACCCAGGCTGGAACGCAGCAGTACAGTCATAGCTAACTGCAGCCTCAAACCCCGAGGCTGAAGTGATCCTCCCGCCTCAGCCTCACGAGTAGCTGGGACCACAGGCACGCACCACCATGCCTGGCTAATTTTTAATTTTTTGTAGAGACAGACTCTTGCTGTGTCTCCAGGGCTGTCTTGAATTTGGGCGCCCGCGATCAGAAGCCGGCGTTCCAGGCTTCCCGGCCCCTCAGATGCCCCCTGCTGCCGCCGCCCGCGCCCGCACCGGCACCTGGCCACTCCAGACGCTCCGGAGGGATTGGGCGCCCCGCGCACCCCCGTCCCGCGCAGTCCAATCCGGAGGCCGTGGGCCGACGTGGGGGGGCTAAGCGTTTGAAATGTGCCCGGACCACCGGATGCATGGGTCCATTCACACGAAATACCCAGAACAGGCAAAGTCACAGAGGCAGAAGGTGTAGGGTGATTTATTTGTTTATTTATTTATTTTATGTATTTGTTTTAATTAATTAATTAACTTTTTTGAGACAGAGTCTCCTCTGTCGCCTAGGCTAGAGTGCCAATCCCTATGTTGGCTTGATGTGGTGGCTCATACCTGTAATCACAGCACTTTGGGAAGCAGAGGCGAGAGGATCGCTTGTCAGGCCAAGAGTTCAAGACTGGTCTGGGCAAAATAGTGAGAGCCCCTGCTACGGTTTGGATTTGTGTCCCTGCCCAAATCTCATGCCGAATTATAATCCGCAGTGTTAGGGGAGGGACCTGGTGGGAGGTGATTGGATCATGAAGGGAGAGTGCCTCCTTGCTGTTCTCGTGATAGTGAGTGAGTTCTCATCAACTCTGGTTGGTTTAAAAGTGTGTAGCAGGCCGGGCGCAGTGGCTCACGCCTGTAATCCCA